AAAGTTTTTTTGAACTCAATTACTTACAAAAGAAGACTGAAGACTTGAACATGAACAGCAGCATAAATCGGTGCTTTATGTTTTCCTTTTGCAAGATGAACTGGCTTATGATTAGCTATAAAAGCGTCCAGCTCCTCAAGCGTCTTTGAGTACTGCTGCTCATTTGTCTTTGCGACTACGCGTGCCGGGACGCGCGACAGCCAATCAGCAGCATCCTCTCGATCTTACGTCATTGGCCATCACGAGTATCAGCGCGCTTCTTGATTAGTATGTCTCAAAGATAAAAATAAAGATTCAGATACTTGGCCGTCTCGAAGCCTCTGGAACAACGAGCTCGAACAGCGCGATTCGCGGCCGGATGGCTCTGCGCTGCGATCGCTGCAGGAGCATTTGTGCTCAATCTCTTACCGGTTCCGTTCGAGCGACAACTCGTCCCGTGCTTTGAGATAGTCGGAAGTCGTCTTCGTAATCATACGCTTTTGAAACCTTATGATGATGGCAATAGTCGTCTTTATAGATTTGGTGAGTCATCAAAGACATTGTATTTTTTTTTCATAAAAAAGGATTTCATTCAGTTGTGCATTTCTTCCCGGATCTAATCTTTCGTGCACCTCTTCCCATTATTTTTATTGGAACTTTGACGGTCAAAACAATTCATGCATGTAATCAACGAAGCGTGGGAAATGTACAGCTTACCTCTCAAATCAACAGAAATATTCCTCTACGATTATACGTAAGTGATTTCTATGAAAGTTTTCTTCAACACATGTTTTTCTTTTACAGCTTCTCAACTTCAAATTCATTTTGTGTAATACACTTTACATGTTCAACACAATTCTATTAGAGCTTCTCGGTTACGGAGAAAGTGTTGAGTAAGTCCTTTCAATGACCTTTAATTAGAGTTAACCCTATCTGCCTCTGAGCAGCTGCCAGGGGCTTCTACAGATTAAACCCTATGACAGGAAAAAATCCTGTTTTGACCTTTTCCAAGGAAATCTTTCAATTTTCTGTTTCTCTAATCTCACGGGGAAGAACGGTTAGGTGGCATTTGCAAAGTAATTAAGTTCCTAACAATCTGTAAATGACGTGCTAGAATAAAGAGCTGTTTCAAAGAGAATAGAAGGGCAGCATGCAATTTATGCGTTTTAGAAATTAAAAGGGGATACGGTACTTTTACCGCTCATCATACCATGAATTTTTTTTATAAAGTGATCAGGAATTTATGTCATAATTGTCTTGAATGAAGGAGTGAATTCTAAAAAGATAACGAATTTTTGAGAAATCGGAGTCAGCGTGAAAAATCTGTTCTGCACTCGTGTGGGAAACTCCGCCTACGAAAGTGGCAAACTCCACCCATTCGACCTCCGACCCTTCCACCCACACACC